TTAAACTGTTACGGAATCTATAATTGCATACCAGCTTTTAACTTTTCTGTCATCTCAATACATTATAGAAAGTTAGTGCTAGCTAAACATTAAGTCCAACTTAAGATTATGAACTTATGGGTGCTTCCTAGCTAGCAACGGATAGATAGCCTTAAGGTGTGCACAATCCAGAATCCTACAAATTCACCGATGTGTTTTTTCTGTGTTTAGCGGGGTTGTATTAGCATCTTCATCAGTCTATGACTCATCCTTCAAATGAATACCTATTATTTTCTGTTGCGCTCTTGTTCCATCTAGCCACTGTAGTGAAAATTTGGTCACCCACCAAAACTTCTCCTATAGCCTATAAGCAACAATTCTACATTTATAATCAATATATGCCTAGACCCTTTAGTAAATAAACTCATACGGACATCATCACATTCACATGATGCCTAACCAAAACCTTTAGCACAACCAGCTAGTGTCAGTAAAACAAATGCATGTTTAACTTGACAGATTTCTCTAAAGTCATTCTTTCAGTAAATGGTTAATCTAAAATATCACACACCATATATTACTACTTTTGAAAAATCACATTCCCCTTGATCAAGAAAATAAGCAACATGATCAACCTAGCTTATTAGGTGCCTTAAAGGGAATCCTCCTCAGCACATTCCGAAGACATTAATCATCTACTCCATTACAGCAGCACAGAAGTAACATAATTGCTTGAACTGAATTAATAAGAATGTACTAAGTGGGCATCAGTATCAAACATTTAAACCTTGCATATTGGGCGTTGTGGATCTCGGAGATTCACTAGCAAGTTGTCACTTTTCAAGTCAAAGTGTACTATGTTTTTTCCATGCAGGTATTCCATTCCAAAGGCCACATCCATTGCAATCAAAAGACGTCTGCGCTTGTCTAGATTCCTGATATGATCATAATAGCATCATGATTAGATAAGGATAATGAAAAGGAACTAACAGACTGACAGGCACATGCACATTCTAATAAACGTATGCCCACACTACCTCTCATTCTTTTGCAAGGCAGTTCTGAGAGAACCATTAGCCATATACTCAGTTACTGTTGCCACAGAATCTCCTGGTCCATCAAGCACCACACCATAGAAAGCAACTACATTTGGATGGTGCAAGTCAGCAAGCTTGATTGCCTCATTCCAGAAGTCATCTCTCTATTTGATGCATAAATAGAGAATCAATGCAAGTTAGTTTCTCAGTCATTGACGAGAGAAGAAAAAAATGCTAATCATAATTATTACTAGTAAAACACAGACCATGCGCTCTTGCTCTGAGGGCTTTCCAGCAAAACATCTATCAGTTATTCTCTTGATTGCAACATCGGTTCCCCTCCATTTTCCATGATAAACAGTCCCAAAGGTACCAGAACCCAACTCTGTCAGCTCTTCAAGGACGCAGTTCTTTATAATCTTGTAAAATTCCAACAACAAGATGTTAGCTCAGGTGTGCTGACTATAAAAAGTCATAGAAAGAAAACATGATATACGTTCAACCTGCAAACGTCCAACATCCGATGTTGGAAAGCCAAAATTTCCCTTCTCTGGAGGGTTACTCTTGACATCCTAAATGGGAAAAATAACAATTTATAGTAATACTAACAAAATTGCATTGGAGGGGAGAGTGGCATAAAAAGATATTTCATTTTGGAGACCATCTGGAATTATAACACACAGAAGCAAATGCAAATGTTGAGCAATTTATAAACAAAATCACCTGAGTTATATCTCTACACATTGCATCTATTGCATTATTTTGAGCATCACCGTCCCCAATGTTTTTGTGACAGGAAACATCTCCGGCTTGCAAGATAGGATTTGAAGGAGCACATGGGTGCAGAACAGAAGCTGCTACATCTTCAGCAACAACTTTAAGTTGTTGGTCTTCGGTTGAAGCTTCAATAAGCAAAGGAAAAAAAATGAGTATGTGCTACGAGCTACACAACCATCTATAACTAGTACATATTTTAGACTTTAAAATTTGCAAACCTTTGTCACACCAACCATTTTCAAAAGTTAAATTCTGTTTGAATGACTCGCATAGGTCACCATCCAATTGTGCATCCAAATTAGATTTCTTGTAGGTTCCTGGATTTTCACAAAAGTAATCTTTATCAGAATAGGTTTCTTTCTCACACGTAGCTTGGCTCAGTATGGAAGGTTGAAAGAAGGTACCGTGTGGTATACTCCAAGGATCCTGATTGCCGAAAACTGAGTTTGGAGATTCCTGTATATCACCAAACATGAAAGATGGTGATGATGTAGATGATGTCGAATCATTCTTGTGATGGTTTACAATATTTGACTGAATAGCGCCCAAGACAGGTGGTTGTGCAACATCATTGTCTTCCCCTGTCCTGGAATTCTGCCTGTATAAAACTTCCTTAGAAGAACATGGCTGCACACCTATCATCTTAGTTTTATCTGCGTCAACTATCAATTTTGGTGTGACAAAGTTGTTGTCCAGAATCATCTCTTCCTCTGTAGCAATCTGACTTTTGTAATCTAAAGATTTATCAACTGGAAGTAAACATTGATCATTACTTACATAACCATCAGCATTGTTTATCTTGAGAATGTCATTCCTTCCATCAACAGGCCTTACATAGCCTTGTCTAATCCAATTATTTACTGCATCTGATTTAGAAACGACACCAGTAAGCTCATTTGTGTATTCTTTGGAAGATTCTTGTGCAACACACTCCGGAGTATGTAAAGTCATTCCATCAACTATAGGTATATCATTACTAACATGTTTATTCGCTTGCTCATCTTGTTTAACCCGGGTTTCAACCGGCGCCATACGCTGGTGGACAACATCATCTGGATAAGAAGGTGGTGTCGTTCCCATGGTCCCATGACCATCCCTAGAAGAATGTTTTACATCTGTCCTACCAATCGTTTCCTGGATAAATGAATTCATAGAATGGTCAAATTCTTCTGCTTTTTGAATAAAAATCCTCCCACCTTCATGCTGAGGCTCAAGATTATAAGAAATCCCAGTATTATAAGTACAATTTCTTACTCCATTATGAACTTCCAACTTGCTAACGACGCTTGGTCTTGTGCTAAACCCTTGTTCAACAACACCTTCCTTCAAGGGTGATGCCACCATAGGCTCAACCCTCTTTGTTGGGTAAGCTTTTACTTTGTCCTCCATTGGAAAACTATTATAACTTGGGCTTGAATCAGGAACTGGGCCTGAACCGCCATCATGCTGATCCGGAACCACTGGATCTGAATGGGCATGAGGCAACTTTTTCTGACACATAGAACATTCCTCAATTCTTTGGATTTTCTCTGGGATAATTACTTTTTGTTGAGGTAATGACCCATCAGAGAAAACAACATGCTCTTGTTGAGGAACCTGAACCCAACCGCGATTACCCCCAACAATGACAGATAGAACTTGATTCACTGGAACTTGATTAACTGGAACCTGATATGTGTTGTAGCTATGTTCTGCAGGAAGCTGGACAATCCTTATTCCTGATGTATTTTCATCACTGTATTGGTTCAAATGATTATGTTGTGGTTGTATCAGTGGTTGTGGTTGGATGACATTTGGTCTAATACCGACGCGAGAAGAAGGTTGAGTCATTGTCATCTGTGCTCCGGAAATGACCTGACGAAAAGCTAAACCAGGCGTATTATTATTATGAAACTGTTGGGCAAAAACAGGCCCAGTCTTTCCTAATAGTTGAGGATTTGGAAACCCCGTCTGAGGAGGCAAGTGGACATACTCTGCATGGTTTGAATAAGGTGAAGGTGGTGGAATTTCTATTCCAGATTGGTGCAGTTCAAATGGTTGTTGAGAGAAAGTAACCGGCGCTGACTTTTCTAACTCAACCTCATTCTGAGCATATGAAGTGTATGTTGGACCAGTCTTAGCCGCAGGCATGCCAAATGAAACACCAGAAGAAGCACCTGAGTAAACTGGTGTGCTGGACTCAGAAGCCGCCATATTCACACTAGTATCAGGAGAAGCAGCCACATACTCTCTAGGCGATAACACACAGGACGCCGAATCTCCTTGACCAGCAACTGAGCTATCAATAGTCTCTATCCCACTCAAATCAGAATTCTGCGTTGAAGCTGCACTTGTAACACTCTCCTTCTTCTTGAAACCACAACAAACCCCATACCCATCTATAACACCATTCACCGCATCAAAATATTTTTGTCCCGTATCCTGCAAATCCCCGGACTGTGCTGCACCAGAAAGATCAACATCTGATAAAGGAAACAAAAAAACCCTCAATTTAGCCGAACCATCCGGAGATCTCTCAACCAATTTCCCATACTCCTCCATCATATTCTCAACATCATCAGGACAAGCAACTGAAACTAACGCATCGAGATCCTCCTCGGGTAACTGATACTTAATAACCACAGGTTGCCCATAAGTATCCACCATCTTTAGCACTAAATCATCATAACTCACATCTTTCTTAACACTAATTATCCTCGTCTGCCCTCCAACATATCTCAACACTCCGTCACTAGGCCTAGGCAATATCTTGCCACTAAAACTACACAGAAACTTAACTTTCCTCCCAGAATTCGAATCATCCCCGGTATCATCAACCACTCTAGTAGTTCCAGTTCCACCATGAGCACCATAAGAAAAACCACTCACACTCATAGCTACACCATCATTATTATTACAAACATTATGCAAACCACTAGTATTATTATTACTATTACTAGCCCCTACCCAATTTCCCAAATTCAAAGCATTCCCAGCAACAACACGGTTCCCGTAGATAGAAGGAGGACTCACAATGGGGCGAACGCACCAAGTTGCTGACGTGGCGCCAGCGGATGAGGCGGGCGTCGGGTAGAAATAATCGGTAACCGAATCAGGAGTGGGAGGCGTGGTGACGCTGGCCGGAGAAATGAGAGGCTCCTCGACCATTATAGGAGCCACATTCAATACTCTCAGATCTGCGGGAGCGGAATTTTGATCAAATGCCATTGCTGCAAAAAAAAAAACTATAGATTGAGAATACAAAGAAAACGAAGCAATGATGATGATGATGATGATGATGATGAGGCTTAATCACAGTAGTGAAATTAGGATGAAATGAAATGAAAAATTGAAATGAAGATTGAAGTAAGAGTAAAAAAATGAATGAATGAAGAGAGAAGAAAGATGGTGGAGTCTCAGATTTGGAAAAATGAAAATGTAAACAATTGTTTCTGAATCTGATGCCAAAAATAGGTTCCATTTACAGTGCCGATTTTCTCTTTCGATAGCCAATGGAATGCAATTTTATTTTTTTATTTTTTTTAAATTAGTTATTGTTATTTTTTAGTTGTGTGTCCATCCATCGAGTTATGTGTTGAATGATGATGGTATGCTAGTACAGTTGAAGATAGGAAAAGAAAGGGCTTTTGGTTTAATATTTTCCCGGGAAGTTGATGAGTAGAAAACGGCACCGCGCGGGAGGAGAAAGAGGAAAGATACATTGTTTACACGCACGTCTCTTTAATGAACTTCAAAAACTCATTTTATATTATATATATATATATATATATATATATATATATATATATATATATATATATATATATATATATATATATATATATATATATATATAGGGAGAGCTGCAAGGGATAGATTTCTGTAGAGTATTTGAAGATTTGAGTGTTACGATAGTAGTACGTATTCTCCCAAGAACGAATGTCTTGTTTATCCCTCTTGCAGGAGCTCCTTATATAGTCCTCTTCTGGCGCCATTTAAGAGTCTCAATCATGGTGTGACCCTTGGGCTTCGTAATTGTGTAACAGTTGCCGTCACCTGAATGAAGGTGTTCAAAGCCATGTAACGTTAGAGTAAATGCGTCGTCGGCGGTTACAGTCATTAATGAGTCGGTTGATGACCAGCTACGGGTAGGCGGATCCGGTCACTAGTATTATCCGGGTTGATGGCCCACATGGGTTGTTACCCGGAGGTATGATGGTCGTATGGCATCTTTAACCGAGTTGCATCCCCTCTCAAGTATCTTTTACTATTAAGAGTCGATCACCAGTTTTGTTATCCCTTCAGCCGATTTCATGACCCGATCGGGATTAATATTTCTGGAATGTACATAAGGCCCCCGAATTCAAATCCTTTCTGTAAGGATGCAGTGTTCGGTCACGAAAGACATGGAAAGTATTGAGGTCGACACTGGGTTGTAAACCGATTTTGACCTTGCGTACGTGTCATAAAATGGAAAGTCATGCATCTTCTCTCTCCTAGAGTAATGATGACTTTTTCCTCATTAAGTGATGTTCCCCTTCCACACGCATTATTCATTGGGCCCTATTTAAAACCCTTTTTCCAAATTTTCTTTTTCATCTCAGCATTCAAAAAATGTCTCAATCTCCAGAGAAAGCGTATACATTCCCAAGTGTTCATCAACTCTAGGTATTCTTCTTTTTCCTCTCATCTTACTTTCCGCTTTTTTCTTTGTTTTATCTTTAGAAAATGACCACAATAAGAGAATACGACGATGAGGAAAATATTGTGAAACCCTCGAATGTCTAAGAGAGAAGGGGGGTTATGGGATCAATGCATGCGGGAGGTTAAGGATACCCTAGGTCAGAAGGAGTTTAATTGAAACACGAAGGAGGTTGATCGTTACACCTTCACTTCTTTGAGCGATTCTGATTCTGATTCTTCCTCCTCAATTTCTGTAGAAGTTCTGACAAACGTTTTCCCCTTCGATCTTAAAGTCATGGGCTACAATAACAACTTGCTTGATGGAGAAGAGATCGCCAAGCTCCGATCTCTAATGAACGTCTCATCTACCAGGGAGGAATATGGCGTTATTCTAGAGTCATGTGTTCTCGGGGAACATGTATGTATTCTTCGTCAGAAGGTTACCGATAAAGAGTTCTTCTACTTTTATTCTGGGGTTTTAGAGGACTTCAAGGTCTGAATACCATTTACTGGTTTCAAGGTGGACATACTGAAAACAATGAATGTCGCTCCCTCTCAACTTCGCCATAATAGTTGGGGCTTTATAAAGACTTTTGAAGTGGTCTGTGAGGCGATGAACATCATCCCTACAGTGGGTCAGTTTTTCTCCTTTTTTGAGGTCAAAGGGGCCGAGAAGTTATCTTAGGTCCAAATTAGTGGTCTCCCCCACAAGAGCTTTCTCTAAGTTTACACCTCCAACTATAAGGGTTTTAAAGACCGGTTTCTGAAGGTGAAGTGTGGGGCGAGATGTCCCCATGTGTTATATGGTTTAAACGAGCACCCACGTTTCCCTTTATACTGGTCCTGAGATCCTTCATATATCTCTGACTTCAATTTTGATAAACTGAGTGATCTAGAGGTTCAAGCCTTGAACGTGCTTGACTCCTTTCGGATGATGAAGATTAAGGATTTGTTTCCCCTAACTACAAAACAGATCACATATTTTCTTGGTAATGGTTTTTTTATTTTTATTATCAAACATGCATATTTATTAACTATGCTCATACTGTCTTTTTATTTCTTCGCAGATAAGATGTCAGATCTCTCTGTAGCCGAGCAGAAGAAACTGATGCTGGAAGTCAGAGCTTCCCAGAAAGGAGCAGGTGGATCTTCGATGATTAAGTTTGATCTTCCCAAGTTGGAAACCCAGACCTTGAAGAGACGGAAGGTGGCAGGCACCAAGGCCACTTCGAGCATGGTCGAACCACAAACTTTCGCTCCATCCATTCAGGAGGAGGTACAACAGGGTACTCCAAAGAAGTAGAAGACTCTTATGAGTGACAATGCTTTCCGATTCGATCTGGTAACCTCCTTAATTAGAGAACCCGGAAACAATCATCCGTCCAGGGAATTTAAGTTCAGGTCCAACAGCTTTGATGGACTCCGCTTCCTCTACAACCATCTAAATGCTACCGAAGACGTTAATAAGGTCAAGACCATATGCCATCAGAAGATGACATTGAACCTTAGTTCTTACCTTATGAAGTGTGCAATTCTGACTCGTGGCCTTTTTGTGTCCAATGATTATTTTGAGAAGACGAAGTTGAAGTTTAAGGAGAATATAACTCAGATGAAGGAATTCCAGAAAACACAATCTGAGAAGCTAACCGGCTTAGAGAAGAGTTTATCCAAAAATAAGGAGCAATGGGAGACTTTGGAAACCTAGAGCAAGGCTTCTCTTATCCAGCTCAATGAGAGATTGAAAGTAGATAAGGCCACTAATGATGAGCTGAAGGTCACTACTGACGAGCTTAAATAGGCTCTCAAGAAATCTTAAGTTAGTATCCTCTCTGCTGGTGATAAAGCCTTCGAACGGGCTAAGGACCAAATATTGTGCCTTCATCCCAACTTGAATTTGTCCGAGATGGATTAGTTCAAGGTGGTGCAAAATGGCCGCCTTATGGATCTTGAGGAGGTAGACAAGAATCCCTCTCCTCCATCAAATCTTGAAGATCCTTCTGGCGGGAAAAATAACAATGATGGTGATGGGAAGGAGAACCGGACCGTATGATGTTGTTTTCCGATCTGTGTTTCTGTTACTCATATGATAAGGGTACATTTATGTAATTTTGTATATGGAGTGATTAATCCCCCCTTTTTGTTTACAAATATGACTTTTGCCTCCAAGCTTTGTACTTTTAACTGCCCTTTGTGGCTTATGTAATCGTCATATCATTGTTTTTTTCTTGCACTGTTAGCTTTCACTTTTTGCTTTCATTTTTAGCTTTCTACAAAATAATATCATATGTATATCTAATCCCCTCGGGAACGAAGTCCTCTAGGTTGTACGTCTTTGATAATGTAGTGTCGGGCATTATTTTGTATTTAAGGTCCCTGACGACTTTTTTATGACATTTGTTTGATTTTTCTGAATGACTTATAGCCCATTGTAGACTCGGACTTATCTTTGATGTAGAAAGTCTTTCCGGTTATAGAGACCACTATGATGTCTGTTCGTCTGAGTTCTATCATGAGCAAGGAAATTTTTGGATGCAGGGTCTTAGGAGTAGGCGTTTTAGGCGTTATATACTTGACCTTGTGTTTTTCAGTTGTTTTTATAAAATCAGCTTTGGTGTACCCTTTAAGAGCCTCAGGCTTGTATGGGGTTGGGTGATTTATTCATTTTACTTTTTGGGCCAACGAGCCCCTAGTGAATGCTGGTTCAAAGCCACTTTTGCCTGAAGGCGAGGTTGTCCGAGTTGTGATTCATAGCCCTTTTGCCCTAAGACAAGGTTGACCGAGTTGGGGTTCAGAGCTCTTTTTGACCTAAGGTGAGGTTGACCGAGTTGTGTAACGCCCGTAATTTAATTAATTATTTAATTAAATTATTTTTGGAATATTTGGGAAGTGGTGTTGTGGTTATTGGATTTATTTTATTAAGTGGTGAAATAATATTAGAAGGATAATATTATTTGATGTGGGCTTGCTTTAAAGGATAGAAGTAGAAATAAAGGGGGTGTAATAGTTTTAAGCCCATTAAGGTATTAAGAGAATAATAGGGTTATTTTATTATTGTTAGAAACAAGGAGAAAAGAAGAAGCAGTAAGAGAGAAAGAAATAAGGGTTGGAAGAATAGAACGTGAAAGTGCAGAAGAGGAGGAAAAGAGGCAGAACGAGAATCAACCAGAAAATTTATAGAGCGACCTTCAATCCAAGGTAAGGGTGGGTTTCTGACTCTATAATAGGGTATATGATAATTGGTATGTGGGATTAGATGTGAAAAATGTTGTCTTGTTCATGATACGTAACACTCGGGGGGATGAACACTTGTTGCTTTGATTATTAATGATTTCAGTTGTTGAACTTTAATTTTATTTATTAAGTATGTTAAGTATGAGTTGTTTTGAAATTGTTGTAACGATGTATAAAGATGTTATTATGAATTCCATTGCGTAGATGTTTAAATTGTTGAATTAAGAGATTAAAGTATTATGCTGATGGTTCATCCGAGGTTTTAAAGTGTTATGTATCCACGATGAATGCAATGTGTTTTTAAAGTTGAATTT